TTTGTAGCTCATCGTTATTCTCTCAGTGTATTCGCTATATAGGACTCATGTATGCGAGCAAGTCTAGCAATACAAATTATCTCTTTAATGAATAAGACTGGCATTCGGCATCGTTGCTTGAACTTTGGCACGCCAGCTAGCGATAAAGGCAGACGGTCGGGTGGATGGGGGGATCTTGAGGGGATTAGAACGGAAGCACGAACCAAGCATGAGCCAACCACATGAGGAAGTGTCGTTCGTCTAATTTCATTGATAAGTCGAGTGCCCATGCACTTGGCTCGCCTCGCCTCGCCGTACTGATATAATTAAACATCATTTGTCCATCGACAAAAAAAAATGTCAGAACCGAACTTGAATGCTTATCTGAAAATGTCTTGAATTTCCACCCGTTGGTTGGGTGGCTGGTTGGCTAAACACAATTCCGAGCCAGTCCGTAAATTAAAAGATGACGAGTGCAATAACCCTGAGAAATTGAATACACATGCCATAATTTGTTTTTATAATAATTTAAATGCGAGTTGAGCTTTTTGTTTAAACAGTTGACGACGACGCCGACGATGACGAAGAAAGCGAACGAATAGCACTTTTTTGTATTTGCACAAAACAATGAAGAAGCAGAAATTGGTGACAAGGGTAAGGGGCAGTGGTGGGGGGATGTGGAATGTTACAATACGTTGATTAAAATTTACAAATGTACAGAAAGGAAGGAGTGCACAAAGAAAATAAATTATTGCGCAGTGGAAAGTAAAGAGTAGTTGTTGAAATAAAAACTGCAACATATGTACGAATATGTATGTACTTGTATGTATGTCTCTGTTGATCAGCGAAAGGGGAGTCAGGCGTGTGGATGTGCCCGTGGGCGTAGAAACGCCATGGAACCTTCACAGACAACGGCAGTCAAGTGCAAATGAGCATTTGGGTTAAAGCGCGACTACAAAAAAAGTGAAACAAAAGAAGTAAAATTCGTTGAAATGGTAAAAGAGAGCTTGAAGGGTTTTTTCGTGCTTGGCAAAGCATTGGAAAATTACTGCAACGATAAAAGCCAATGAACACAAAAAAGAAAAGTGAAAATGTAATCCGCCAAGAGGTGTGGCGGTAGTGTCTGAAGTGCGCTTAAGATATGGGATTTCGCAACGAAAGAGCAAGAAGTTACGGAATTAAATATGTATAATACTTACGTATCAGTTGAAATGGTGAAGTGATTTAGAAAACTAGCGGCGAATAAGTTCGAAAATCCGGCTCAATTGTAACAATTGCCTTTTGATGTGTGATTAAGCAAGGCAACAAGATGCTGAATAAAATATGTTTATTCAGTTGAAATAATTAAATAATTAAGTTTGCAAAACAACACATCTGACTAAGTCGGCTCAAGTGTAACCAAATGGAGATAAACTGCTAAATAGAATATTTTTATTCACTTGAAATAATGAAATAATTTTAAAATATGTTGTAGTTTTTTTTAGTTAAAATAAAAAAGAATGTTTTTAGGAAAATAACTCAGAATAAGTCCGCTAACATAATCTTATTCATGTTTAATAAATTTACTTTGTATGTAAAGTTGGCTTTAGATCATAAAATATTTGTAATCAGTTAACAAGAATTAGAAATTGATATAATCTTACTAGCAGTTGGTTTTTCAGATCTAGTAAGCACATGTTATGCTTGGTTGTGCATATACATTCAGTACTATTCTTTTTCAGCATTAAGACTAATCCGAATAACTAAGAGTTTGCGAAGAAAAGTAAATGTATTCCTTACATCTAGAACGACCATATTTTGATCGGTTGTATATGCAGAAGGTAAATACATATAGTACTATTCAAGACTATCAATTAATTTCTTATCTTTATTACAATCAAAAAAAAACTTCTACTAGTCTAGTAATTTTTTTTTATTACTGTTTAATATTAAGTTTCAAAATGTATTATTTGATTTATTGTAGTGAAGCTCAGTGCCTTGTAATACATTTAGATAACCTCGACCTTGGGCAACTTTTCAGTTCTGTTTTTCTGCAAAGTTAAAACATTTCCTTAGATTTTGTTTTTTATTTTTTATTTCTTGGAATTGATCATATCAGTCAGTTGCATGCTATTATTACTAATATTAATAAAAAAGACTAATTAATATAGTTAGTTAATATTATTGTTGTAAACATTTGACCGATATATGTGCACATACTCTTATATACACCGATGTATTGAATTTATATTGTTACCTAGAACGTCTCCAACTTTCGTTATAGCAATTATTCAATCAATATACAAAAATTAATTATACTTTGCAATGTAGAACAGAATGTGGGTTTCTAATGACATGATATGCCTCGAGCCGATAGAATGTTGAATTTAATTTAAAAATAGGTACTGAACGCTTTTGAAACCTAACCTGTGATATTTTAGGAATGCGATTATTATTCGAATGTCAACACTTATTCGGTGAAGGGTTTCAAATCTTTTAGGGTCCGGCAGCCCTCACCTGTCCCTTGAAGCAATTACTAGAGAAGGATACGAGCCAAAAATGTCTGTCCTTAAAGCGATTAATATGAAAATGCCGACGTTTGCTCATTTAAAATGAAAATTAGATATCAGCAGCATTTGTGTGCAAGGCGGCCACTTTTGAGCTTCAGCACGTAAAGCACACAATGGGTCCCACAAATGCACACACATATACACACTACTATACACACACACACACACAGACACACACACAGACACACATACATTCAGAGGCACCCACAACACGTTCTACAAACTGCGCCCAATTTTCAACATATTTAGTTTGTGAAAACGAACATGTGTTGCATTCCCGACCCGTTCAGCGGAGCCGCTAGTGGCGGGGAAGGAGGGTGAGATAGCGAGATAGAATGGAGAAAGTGATGTGTAGTGAGTATTGAGTGGGCGGTGAAGGCTGTGAGGGGCTTGGGACTATTAATAATACAAATGGTTGCTGGGCGCACGAACGTACAACAATGTATGTGTCTGTGCTCGCTACAAAATTCATATAAATGTTTATAATAAAATAAATATACAATTGCTATCATTGTCCGCTATCAAGAGCCCCTTATTCATTGCCATCATCGCCAACGTCATCATAATCATCATCAGCATCAGCATGCGACGCACAGCACTCTGAAGCCATTCCATATAAGTCGCAACTTGGCAGTCGCTACTTGATAGAATAGGAACAATGTGCGCACTTTTCAGGTCTTGCGGGTATGGCGGGTATTATCTCAGACAATACATGCCAGTCAGATACAGACACAGAAACAGAAATAGTCATGCATGGTCTGACAACATTTCTGGCGACCCACTTCAAACGACCACTCGCTTAAGACAGTAGCCTGCAACATGGCTAAGTGTTGAACTTGTTTTGTGGGCGACTTTGTATAGCACTTTTATTTTACAATGTTGTCAATGCTTGATAGAACCAATTGAGGGGGAAAAACTTTCAATTATAACGAGTTCCTATGTTCCTAATGGCTGTGTCTATGGCAGACTAACTTAAAGTGCAGCGCTGTTTGTCTGTATGACCGTCTCGTACTCGCAAACCATAAGTGCCAACGTCATTAACTTTCATAGGAAAATTGTTTGCAATTCTAAGGAAAATGAGTTTGTTTTAGATTTGCTAAATATGACTGCTAATTACTGTAATAATCATGTTAGATAGTGCATATGTTTTAGAAAAAGGAAATGCAAATTTATTTCACTTCTATGAAGAAACGTACACTATATGAATCGTAATTTTAATCAAGTGTTGAAGCGTCAAGGCTATAGGGCAGGAAAATATGTACATACTATTTATGTTTTGAGAAGAAATAGATAATTCTTAATTACAAGTAAGGTACCGGAATTCGGAGATATGGGGGCTCTATTACAATTTGTTTTGATGTTTTATATAATCGTTGTAATAATAATATGATTAAATTTGATAGGAAAAACGTATATTTTATATCTAAATATTCTAAAATAGAAGTAAGCGTTTTCTTAACCGTTACCTTTCATACCTTTCGCCCCGTTATATTACGTTTTATTTCCATTTTTTTCAAAATTCCGCTCACTTACAACTTTAATATGGTGATCAGGAAAGCCTAGAATTGACGGTTTTAGTGCCAGAAATCAAAGCTTTCGATTTTGTTTTATTTGTTTCGTTCCTTTTGTTTTGATATTTTCAAATATTTATATGGTGGATAGCCATAAATTACCAAATTTCGCTAACTACTTAAAGAACCATATTTAATATATAATTTAAAAATCAGAATTTATTGCTACAATATCGAAAATGCCAAGCTATCGATTGCGTTTCGATTCCGTTTTGTTTCGTCCCCTTCAGCATACATGGCATAGAAAACCAACAATTTCAAGTTACGTTGGAATGAAACAATGGATTTTGTTGCGATTCCGTTTTGCAATGTTCGCTCATTTATACAAATAAATCGTTTTCACAGTATCGTCCAGATGTCCATGAATATATGTTTCCCAGCGGGCGCGTGCAGCAAATAGCTTCCTTAGTTGTCGTGCCGCCCACGCATGTGTTTCCAATCTTTCAATATTACGGTTTTAATGGGGCATGCATAATTTTATTTCAACCACGGGCACTGGATTGGAAAATGTACAAACTATTTATGTAGGCGCTAATTGTGGAGCCGTACAAAAGGTCTTGAAATAATTATAAAAATAAACAAGACAGAAAAATGTTTACTAGCTGATTGGCATTTAAAACATTTGCTCTAGTTTTTCTGTTGTTGTGTTATTGTTTCTTTTTTTCTGCTTACGCGGTTGCTTATTTGCATATTTTCTCGATTATAATTATCAGTATCAGTTGCTGGCGGCCCCGAGTTGATTCACCTTTTGACTTTGGACCCAAACGCGACTATATATTTATATTGTGTGTGTCTGTATTTGTGTGTGTGTGTGTGTGTGTTATGACTACTGAATTTGATTTGTATGAATAATATTTGAATTGATTATTGACAACTTGGACTTATCTTCTTTCATTTGCAGTTGAAACTCCGGCTGAGTGTGCCACCCTGCCACGACTTCAACCGCATCACGATGCAATAATGGATTCACTGTTGCAAGTCTCCACACAGAGCACCAATCGGGATCATTTGACGCTGCAGCCGCAGCAATTGCCACGTTCGCGGGGTTCCAGTTCCAATTTGAGAGCCAGTCGCTCACCATCGGCCACACGCAGCAACGAGCAAAGTAATTACCAATTACCAACTCTCATTATTGCCAATATCTCTTACCTAATAGCCAGACACAAATAGGTCCCCGCCACTTTTTAATAGTCGTAGCATTAATAGCCGCTTTATTGGCCACACTTAATGCCTAAGTGACAAAAAACGCCACGTGCCCGCCTAGTGCTTCTCATAATCTCATAATCTATGTTATCACGCTTCCCGCTGCTTAGCTAAGCTCCGCTGGTTGATTGGTTGCCATGCCATTGTAGAAACTTTGAACGTATGTTTATAAATAGTATGTTTGCCATTTAGTTGGTGGGCTATTAAACTAGCATTTCCGCTAGTTATGTGCAATTTTTAATGACGACGAAGATGGACAATTTGCTAGTTTGTAAGAGCTTGCAACCTTCTTTGACACCTTGACATTAGCTTTTGGATATGTAGGGCTTTTTAAAATAGAACATGTAAGTGAAGAAGGTGAGTTAAGGTCAGGAAGCTTAAAGTGTAAATGTTAGTAATAAGTTTAATGACTTTTAGAAATTATAGCAAAGTAATGAGAGTTCGTAGAGCTAAGAGAAGTATGGAAAATTAAACTGATTTGAATTACCATCTGCTATAATACAGGTTTTAACATTCTTTTTAAATGTTGTACAAATACTTCAAAGGGAACGGCAGTTTTCTTAAGTGTGAATGTATATATTCGACACGAAAATCTGATAGTCCAAAGATGCAATGTCTGGAAAATATTGTTATTTTTTTTTTTTAGAAGTTTTCAAGTTACGTAGAGGTTGGATTCCTTTTTCACAAAATAGAGCAACCAAAAGGCTAAGCAGCTTATTTTCTTTAATTTTTTGTTGTTGTGTTTTTGGTGCAAAGCAAGCTTAGACAAACATTTTTCTGCATAAATAATTGTGTACACACTTACCATAAAACCTACTTTAGCCCAACTCTCCCTCCCCCTGTCACCACCTTTTATCAGTAAAGCCAGTGCTCAGCTTTTGCTGTTGCTTTAGTTTTTGTGCAAACATTTTAAGCTGCAGGCAAATATAAATATGTATAGTATAGTCGGCTTTTGTGCGTTTTTGTTTGCCAAGATTTTTTGAGCTGAAAATAGAAATAAATGTGTAGTAGGAGTATGTTTATGTTTTTATGTATATTTTATGTGCATTTTACATTTATTTTTCCTTTGCTAACTTACGTTTGTTTTTGTTTTGTTCTCCCCTTTTCTTTTTTTTCTCTATTTCAAACAGCTTTGTAACATTGAACGTAAGCAAGTTTAAAACTGATTTTTGTTGTTGTTGTAGATATTTACTCATACACATGCAATACATGTACACATTTGTGCGTCAAACTCACACTCTCATACATACATGCCTTCTGTTCTAACACATTCCTTTGCCACTTTTCCAGAGCAACGCGCACACGATTCTAATGCTATTTATTAAAAAAAACAGCTAGAATTTCTTTCCTGCCTTCTTCTTATCTTTCTGTCTCTCTCTTTTTCACTGGCTCTCACCGTGTTTTGTCCGCGTCCCTCTTCCCATGCAACTGACATGACGTGCAGCTGTTTAACTGTCTGTCTTAAATAAAAAAACAAAAATAACTTATGCACTCACACAAACACTCATTTAATTGCTCACCTGCTTACGCACACACACACACGCATTCGCACCATTTGAAACGCAGTTGTGCACACACTGGTCTGCTTTCAAACAAAGGCGGACAAAAATTGAAAGCTTATTGGGGAACTTTAAATTGAAATTAAGGTAATTGGTATTCCATTTAAACATCAAAATGAAAGAAAGATAACAGCTCGATGATAAAATACGCTTACATTTTTTTTATTGAAATTATGTTAAAGTTAAATAAAATGAAATCAAATAAGTCTACTTAGAAACAAAATTAATTTTGTTCAATATGTGCAACTTTTTATTAAAACTGAAACACAGATTAAGGGCTTTCGGTTTGACGTTTCCATAATCTACTTAAAAGAAAAAAGCACTTACTACTACTTAATGGAAAGCAAGGAGTCTTGCAAAATATAACAAATTTGTAGGTATTTAAATACATATTGAATAGGATAAACAGTAAAAGCTTACAAAAAGCTTCGAAAAATAGAACTAAATAAAATTAATCTACTTAGAGGTGACAAGAATTGTTTTCACTGTTTGAAAACAATTGGATGCATTTATAAGTACTCTATTGATTAGGGCTTTTCTTGTATTTTTATAATATTAATAGTTAGAAAATCTCAAAGTGAATCAATTTAAATTAAACTAAAAAAGAACTAAATTCAGAAAATAGGAAATTACTTGTATTTTGTCGACTTTTGAACCAGTGTGCAGAAACAATAATAACAACAATAAGCAGCTTTTGCTATAAATGTTAGGAAAACAAACCTACATAAGTATATCACATATGTGTGTTTATAATTGTTGCTGACTTTTGATGTGTTGTTTGAAATAAAGACATGCACACACATACACACAGAACAACAACAACGGAAACAACAACATAACACCAAAATTGGTGGCTTCTGTGCATGCAACACTTTAAATTCCTTAGCCCGTTTGCTTACCTCTAAAATGTTTGGCTTGGCAACCAGTTGGCTTATGGCTTGCGCTTTTGTTGTTATTCTTTGTTGTACCTGCACCTGCGCCTGCCTCATCGCACACATTAGAGATTGATTGAAATTGAGTCGAAGAAAACAAGCAAACAAACGAACTTTTCACAATTTTCATGCGCAAAAATTCGTATCCAGTGTCCAGAGAGCGTGCCACGGAAGCGAGCGGACAGGAAGCAGGAGCGTCAGCGGTGTCTGGAGTAGCAGCAGCGTCAAGTCCGGCAATTGCAGCAACGGCGGCGGCTGCATCCACCAACAACTCCTCTTCGGCATCCTCGACCACAGTGGCAGCTGCACAAGCGGCTGTCTTTAGCGTCGGCAACACGGTGACCGGCAGTCTGGGTAGCGGCGGAGTGGCGGTGCGCGGCTTTCGTAGCCACAGCCCGTCGCATCATCGTCGCCGGAGTCGCGAACGTCAGCGACGCACCCATGGCTCCGATCAGGGCGGCCTCTTGGCCTACAGTGGCGGTCTAGTGGGTGTGGACATGATCTCTGGAATCCCTCCCGTAGAGAGCGTTCTCATCGGTGGAGTTGGCGGCGGTGGAGGTGGTGGGAGCGCAGGCACTGGCAGTGGACTGGAGGACTCGCGTCTATCGGGAAATGAAGACTACTGCTATTCCTCTTTCGTTTCGGACGATTTCGATGGCAATCCGCCGGCATCATTGGTAGACAGTAGCAAGAAATTACACCACAGGCGCCCCCACGAACGCACGTCCAGCCTCCAAGCTATCGACAGGCTGAATACGAAAATACAATGTACAAAGGAGTCCATACGACAAGAGCAAACTGCCAGAGATGGTATGTCTATAACAGTTGCTAAGATATATGTACATATGTCTGACTTATGCTTTCTTCTTCTTCTTTACCATTTAGATAATGTTAATGAGTATCTGAAGCTGGCAGCCAGTGCGGACAAACAACAGCTTCAACGCATCAAGGTAAGAACATTCCTAATGAATTAGCTTTGCTGAGATTTCGGATAACAAGGGACAGATTTAGGATAAAAGTTCCAGTCCCAAAAGCTTATCTTTTTCCAACATTTGCAATAAATTTTCTCAAGTTCCCTTTGTCCGTCCAGATGTGATGATATCTCGTAGTAATTATAGTGCGAGTTCGTTAGAGTTTCCATGAAAACTGTGTACTCTTTATGTTAAGAGTATGCCTTTCATATTCCCTTCGCCTTGAACTTTGTAATCGAAACAAATATGTGTTGCCTACTTTCAGGCTGTCTTCGAGAAGAAAAACCAAAAGAGCGCACACAGCATTTCGCAGCTGCAAAAGAAACTGGACAATTATACGAAACGCGCCAAGGACTTGCAGAACCAGAATCAATACCAGACCAAGAGTCAACATCGTCAGCCTCGCGAAGTGCTGCGGGATGTGGGCCAAGGACTGCGCAATGTCGGTGGCAATATACGCGATGGCATTACGGGTTTCTCCGGTTCCGTGATGTCCAAGCCGCGAGAATTTGCACACTTGATTAAAAATAAGTTCGGCAGTGCGGACAACATCAATCAGATGGGCGAGTCAGAGCTGCAAAATTCCGAGATGCTGGGCAACCCAGGCACCACAATGGGCGGCCACATGACTGTCGGCGGAGTTGGCGGTGCTTTGAACAATCTGCCCGCCGGCACTTCGACGGGATCGGGGAATACGACAGGTGGTGCGGGCAGCGGTACCGGAAAATTCAACAGCGACAATGGAAGCGAATGCAGCAGCGTGACCAGCGAAAGCATACCAGCGGGGTAGGTTATCCTCAGTATACCTAGGCAGAATGAACACTTTACCAATGATACGCCGTTTATTTTAGCTCCGGCAAAAGCCAATCTGGGGCCAGTCAATATCACATAGTGCTCAAGACACTGCTAACCGAACTGGCCGAGCGCAAAGAGGAGAATGAAAAGCTAAAGGAGCGCATTGAACGGTTGGAGGTAAGTAGAAAATCAAATGAAGAGGCAATCTTAATTCTTCAATAAGAAGATTTGAATAACTTGTACACCTAATTCTGGTTTTACACGATATTTTTTTTAGACGATTTTGATATAACAGAGATAAGGATTCAATTCTCTATTTTTGCATATTATCAATGTCTTTTTTACACGGTTGTTTCTGGAACCAATCTACCGTGTAAAAACAGAATAAGGTGTATATAAGAGGCATATCTTAGATATTCGAGGACCTTCATCATAATACTGTTGACTAAATCTGTTGCAATTGCGAAAAGATTCTTAATATTTTGCTATTCTTAAACGACAATACTATTAGTGCATTCTTTTGAAATCCGTATTGTTGATCGAATAAATAGGAATGGTTTGTTTTTAATAATTAAATTAAATTATTATTCCTTTAATTGTATTTCCTTTCTAACTCTTATTTCTTATGCGTTTGATATTTAAAGGAATTACTTGTATGTATCTTTGAAAAAAATAATTCAACTGAAGATACTGTTTGCCTTTTTGGTCTCCCAATACTAAACAAGCAGTACATTTTCCTGATTGTTAGTATATTTTGTACTAAAAGTATATCGGTATATAAACCACGTATTCCTTAATCTGGAGATATGCTAGTATATAAAATATTTTTCATTAGATGTCGAAAATAGTGAGTTAAACTTATATATTATAAAATCTTTTATAAATATTACGTTTTACAAATTATCATAAAATTTAAAAGTCCTACCCAACTTAATTTACTAAATTAAGAAAGCACTGCTTGATATACATATGTATATTGGTACAAGTATATACATAGGTACTTACAATACTTATTTTTAACATTTCTTGAAGACGAGCCAAAAGGAATTCAACAATTTGACCGCAACACTTGAAAGTGAACGCTATCGTGCGGAAGGACTGGAGGAGCAAATCAATGACTTGACGGAATTGCATCAGGTTTGTAAAGCAGCCCAGCACGCCAGACATCCTCTTGGCAGTCTGCCCATCATGCCCTAATGTGTGTGCTTGCTTGCCTTTTGTTTGTAGAATGAAATCGAGAATCTGAAACAAACTATTGCCGATATGGAGGAGAAAGTACAATACCAAAGCGATGAAAGACTACGTGACGTAAACGAAGTGCTCGAGAATTGTCAAACGAGGGTAAGTCCTGTCGCACACACAGTCACACAGTCACACACACACACACACACACACACAAGCTAAGGAGCACACTTATGCTAAATATATGTTTTCTTCCTACTCACAATACAGATTTCGAAAATGGAGCACATGTCTCAGCAACAATATGTCACCGTCGAGGGCATTGATAATTCGAATGCGCGCGCCTTGGTTGTGAAACTCATCAATGTGGTATTAACGATATTGCAAGTGGTGCTCCTGTTGGTTGCCACAGCGGCTGGCATTATAATGCCATTCCTTAAAACGAGGCAAGTACTACTAATACTAATCAGCCAATAATTCAAATATTGCGTATAATAAATAATGGTGATGAATCGTATCGTGTGAATGCTGATTGAGCTTCAAATTATAGTAGTGGGTTGAATTTTACTGAAGATAAAATGTTTTCACAATTCTGAATATGAAATCATCTACAACTAAGTGCTTCTATTCGAATATTCCGATAAGGCTTTCGCCACTAGATTTTCTTTTATCTTGTCAAATATACACAAATTAATATTTGTATGTAATTGAAAAATAGCTGCTCTTTGTCACTTTAAGAAAAAGACAAACACCATTGCCAGATCGACGAAAGTTTAATTTCAAAATTTGTAACGTTGTGCGCCAACAAGCCTACGCTACCAGGCGAACATAACTGGTAACTAGCAAATATTACACTCATGCGAATGTAAACACAAAACAGCTGGAGCGGATTTTGCTCCACGACTGTAAACAAACCAACTGATTTTCTATTGGCTGTCAAAGCTGGAGGCATAATGGCCGTCAGATCCTAACGGTGCTTGTCAAAATGTAAACAAATCAACTGCAGCTCTCATAGCTGAATCAAAAATGGCCGTCCGATCCGAATGGTGTATTGTTAATTACACTGAAGGTTAATAGTATTCAGACTGTACAAGTGAACTGAGTGCAATTCTATTTAAATAGCGATTTGGGTTTTTGCTACTAGGATTTCGTTTAGCTCAAGAGTTTTGATCTGTACATTTTCATGTTGTGATTGGAAATATGTGCGTTTTGGCATTAAGAAAATGATATTTTTCAATACAGAAATATGTAGTTACAAGCATTCTTTTTGTGATTAGTTAAGAGAGATCTTTCTACATATTGTTTCCGAGGAATATTTAATAATTTTTAAATATTGTTTATAAATTAATTCCCATTTTTCCCATACGCGTTTATTAAGTTATTAAATAGCTTTTTTTGTGTCCGTGTTCCAATGTCCGTACAAAGTTGCGTTTAAATGAACTTTAAAACATATAGATGATCGTTGAAATTAAATTAATTTTGTAGACAAAACTTAACATAAGTCGGCTATGCTATGAACAATTTTACATAATAACAGTATGTATTTTGTAATCTAACGCAGCTATTCGCATTTGCCTCACCTGGTACTTAAATGAGAAATTTGCTTAAGCTACATTTTAAAAGGACAATGAATTAAACTAATCCAGCTTACACAATCTTTTTTCTTATTTATTCCACAGAGTTCGTGTGTTAACCACGTTTCTGTCCATTTGTTTTGTCATCTTTGTGATACGCCAATGGCCCGATGTGCAGGATATAGGCGCAGGTCTGGTGCGGCATCTGAAGCAATCGCTGGTGGTGAAGTGAAGCGCCGAAGCTGCTGCACATTAATGTCGTACGATTATTTATTAAGTTCAAAAGTGTATATAGTTTATAAATAATATTTAACATATACTATATGTTTAGCTAAAGGAAATCATCAAATTTCTATAAGACAAAGGGAAAAAATCACATCACATACTCGTACATACGAACGAAATCCATGCAATACAACAACAAACAAAAAATTGTACAAAAGAAAAACAACACAACTATGCAAATTCGCACACACATACACACACATTTACAATTATACATAAATACATGCATCCATACACACATACATACGTATAAATATGTAATACATTTAGCAAAATTAGCTCTGCTAAAATTTAGCCGAAATTTCTAAATATGTAATAATTGCAAATGCAATGCTGACAAGTTTTTGAGCATAACTCAACTTTATATATATACACACACACATAAATATATATATATACAAACTATATAGCCATGCATGTGCTGTATTCAAAATGCATACGCTACCTTCTATACATAAAAAAAGAAGAGATACACTCTAATTATATACATAGTTATACGTACGCATACATACATACTTGTTCAACTTTTTGTATAAATTCATAATTTCTTTATCATTTTTATTTTATTTATAATTTTTCGGATCAAAATGTTAAAACAGAAATAATGTATGCCTACAATTATTGCAATTATTACGGTGGCCTATACAATTTTGTCTAATATGTAGAAGTATACGCAACAGAAAATATGTATACATATGTATGTATGTATATGAAACACATTTTAAATTGCTTGCGATAGCAATTAGCCAACAACTTCTACACTTGACAAGATAAAAAAACTAAACGAAAAGAAAAACAAACGACAAATATAAATACATACGTACTACATACGTAAGCATAAAGTTATAAACATGTGTTTTCCTTTTCCTACAAATATTTAATTGCCAACAGCGAAAGATCCAGCAGCCAGAGTTGTCAGGATGAACGACGTTCAATTTAAAATTTTGTCACGTTGTGCGCCAAATCACGCACTTCCAGGCGAACATAACTGGTAGCAAGCAAACACTGCGCACTTGCGAATATAAACATAAAACAGCTGGAGCGAAGTTAACTGCGCGATCCTAACTGTGCATGTCAGAATGTAAACAATTCAGCTTCTTTTCTATTGGCTGTCATAGCCGCGGCATAATGGCCGCCCGATCCTAACGGTGCAAACAACTGTCATCACATCGAGGCATTGCCATGCAAAAATAATGGTGTATTTTATGTCAGCAGTTGCTTTCTGCTCGTTTATGTTCGCCTGGTATTTAATGCTTATGGCACACAGCGCTTTAACATTTGAAATTCTGAACTAATGAGGAAAATTGTAGCGCCATCTGTCTGTGGCAGTGCTGCCAACTTAGTTACTTTGCTCACAGTTGCAGTGCTTTTCAAACCGCGATTGCAGGAAAAACATTAAAACTGCGACTGGTTTATAGCGTTTATAGTAGTTATAGAAAGAAGTTAAAAAACTTGATATATAATCAGATATTAATGCAGTTCATATCATTTGTATTCGTCTCTTTATTGAAATTATTGGTTTTTGTGAACAATTTTCATCAGTTGCTTTCGTTTCTTTTTGCTAATTGTTGTTAGTTTTGTTTCTTTTTTACTTTTGGGCAAATTAATCACAAACTAGCACTTATGAATTAATATTCTAAATTGCTATAGTATGATTTTTCTTGCTCTAGCAAATGGCCAGTTTTTGTTTTTTAATTGTTTAATTCTTTTTGCATTATTTGTAGAACTCCCCTGCTGACAAACAAAGTGTGCAAGAAAGGGGAACAGTTGCGATTTAGTTTTAATTTAATATGTTACAAAATTAACTTAAAATTAGTTAAATGTAGAATAACAGCATATACAGCACAAATATATTATATAATTTCTTTTCTCGATTTATTTTTGGAAGTCGACTTTCTTTTGCAGCACATTTTTTCCATCGAATTTGTGTGATGTGTTGAAAGTATTTATTATTACACATGCTCCAGTTTCGACTTAAGCCTAGGATCTCTAATAAACTTGTTCCAGCAAAGTACCTGCTCACTTTTTTCTATTTTTGGTTAATTTTTTATCGTTGGGTAAAAAATAATAAGAAAAAACGAAGCAATTGATTAAAATCAGTTGAACTTATTTTTTAAAACCTTTCTTGATAATTTCAATTAATTTCATTTTCTTTTTTTGTTGGGGAAGGGGAAGGGACTTTCTTGAATCAAGCCAATAATATGATACAGGATTAATATATAATGTATATAAAATAAATCACATTCTGTATATGCATAAGTATATATGTTTGTGTGTGTGCTTGTGAGGCGCACAACATGCACAAAATAATTGTTATACCTTACATATACATATATACGCGTAAACAATAATCAATATACACACACAACTCACAAATCAACGCTGAGATGTTTAACTATATATAGTATGTCGTAATAGTAAACGTTTTAGTTAATTGTTTAAAACAAAGCAGCTGGCAGCCACAGCTTTACAGAAACCCAAATTTACGCGTTCTATCGACTCTGTCTTTCTTTTCACCCTCTAACTTCTAATTTCTACTCGTACATAAATTATGGGGAAAGTTGCAAAGCATTATGCTTAACTCTACGACTGAACAATGTTTTTGCTTCATATGAGAAACTGACGCGAGCCTCCCCCCTCGCCATTCGGTGGCAGGGCGGCCACACCAATGCCCCCCTGTGTGGGTGTCTGCAAGAATTCCGAATCAACGGCCTCGCTAGCAGATGCAATACGATTGCTGCCGGGCGTGGTGGCCGCTATCGGCTCATAGATGGAACGGTGCGGTGGCATATCGTCATCGTCCTTAAAGGAGCCGCTTAAATTCGGGTTTAGGATGTTATTCGATGTGGGTGTAGCCAGAGCGGCGCTTCCGTTCCCTGATGTCGTTGCTACCACTGCTGCTGCTGTTGTTGTTGTCTGGCCAAGCAATCCCTGCGTACTAGTCCCTGCTTCCAGATGGTCCAGATAGGGTGGCGCTGCAACACTTACGGGGCGACGAAATAGGAAGCTGCGAAATGCACAAAAGTGTGATTAGCATACGGTTTGTATTAAAATTGCATAGTAGGAACTATTTAAATCGTATGAATACTTCACATCGCAGTTATATTGAGTTCAGTCTAGCAATATCAGTGGCTGTGGTAAGCTAACAATCTTACCCATTAATGCGCGACCACAGGGAGGGTGTTTCTCCGCTCAATTGCACGGCCAGATGTGCGGGCAAATTTGGTGAGCGGTCGAATGGATTGATACGACGCTGCGTGGATGGGGCCAACAGAGCTGCAGAAAATACAATGCTTTAGTAAAATCACAAAAAAAAGGAAAGGGAATTGGGAAAGCAGTAGCAACAAGAACAACAGACGCACCATCATCATCGGAACTGTCATTTTCCTCCGGCTGTGCTGCTTGGGCTGTTGGGGCATGAATCGATCCATTGTTGACCACTTGAGGGCGTCTGAATGTCCCATGTGTGGTGGTGCTGGCTGCGGCAGTTACCTCCTCGGTGCTGCCGAACGACGCTGCCTCTAAGATAGCATTTGCCTGCTGCAATAGGGGTGTGGTATCGTCGTCTGTATCGGTTACACTATCCGAAGAAGAGTGTCGATTCCGACTTGCACGCGTTTCGCCCTTCGTAAAAACCTTACGCTTGCAAATGGGGCAGACCCGACGATTCTGTGTGAGCCAGGGATCGATGCAGTGGCTGTGATAGGCTGTAATCGAGAATTAATATCATGTTAGAATCGTCTAATATAAAATATATTTAAAAAAACTGTATAAGAAAAATAATATTTTCGAAAACGAGTCATGCATACGAATAGAAAGATGTAATTAAAATAATATATAACTACATATATGTACATAGCACTGTCTACAAAAGAACTTTAAAAAGAGATAAAATATAGAATTGGCTGAAAATCGTTTCTATTGAAGTATCAATCTATTTCTTTTCGATCATAATTCGATTCATAAACCTATTAGTATCTGTATAACAATACGTACGATGCGAACACGGCAACACCCGAAGTTTGTCGTCTTCCGCAAAGTCCTCTAGGCATATCACACAGGTTTCGTACTTAATACTCGGATTATTTTTGGTGTAACGCAGCATCGGAATCTTCTTCAGCAAGTTCTTGGGCAGGCGATAGCGACGCATATTTCGCTGTTCGCGTATGCATCTGCAGATCATGTAAATAACCTATACAGATATAAATAATACAGATATTAGTACTATGTTGGTTCATTCAGCAAAACCAATTACCATAATAAGGAAACATAAGCCGATCAATATGGAAAATGGCAATAGCAATTGTGTATTGATGTTGAAGGGCAGCTCATCGTTTATAATGAGCACCACATCTGGGCTGTAGTACGACTGTAAGGCCTTGCCTGTGCTATGGCCTACGAAAACCGATTGTATGTGTATACCGGTGGAATTATCGGCGGACATTTGTTCTGAAAGTGAAGGGAACTTATTTGTTAGCACTAGTGCTTGATTGAATGAATTTATCATCAGTACTTACCCAAATCATCGCCCTCATTGTTATACACAATTACGGCATAGTAGGAAGCGTTCTGCGCCACCCGCACCTTCCGCTCAAATGTGCAATCCCCGCCGCTAAAAAGACAATTTGCAAATAAGGTTTACTCATCTATAGCTATTTTTATTTGAAAGTTGTTTCCCACTTCCTAATAAGTGCCACAAAGTTAAGACTAATGACAGTTTAATTATTTTTAAGATAATGCAAATCAATTTAGAGTTTTTAAGTGCTTGTTTATGTTGGGATTGTTTTTAAACTTCTCCTTTAAAGTCTCCTACAAATTCGAAATTATTTTTGTAGAGTAGTAATGGTTTCCTCGTAGAAATAGTTTCCTTGTATTATAATAATACCCTTTTCTTGGGAGTTAGGATGGGAATATCTTATGACTACACATTTGGTGACCCCGAGCTATGATTTAGTTTTGCATTTGGTGACCCCATCGTACGAACGAAATCCAATTATATACTCAACAATACATTCTACTAACCACCCGGAACTTTTTATCCATATCAGCTACTGAATTTGGCATGTAGACTGGTCTTATCCATACATAGATCAAGTTTATTACCAACCATAAATATTCACGTCATGCTTTTTGTTATTTAGTAGTCTTTTAAAAGACTGTGGAATGGGAGCGAGGGAGGTTGCCCGAACATATGTTGTAACATCCAGAGCATATATTATTGTAGTATACGGATTTATATAAAGAGATGCATCAGGTGAACTAAAGTTATTAAAAAATCGTCTCTTAAAAGCTGAAATTGTCCTATATTATAATACTTTAATTTATGTGGAAATAATGGGGTTTCAAAAGGTTTGCTCTGAAACTATAATTCCTACCTATAAAAAACTACCAATTCCGGTTTCACAATGTTTAATTTTGGATATTCCAAAACGAGGACAGTTCTGTAATTCGTAAACGACTTTTTCATTGCTTTACAGGGAATTTGTGAAGATAGAGATACCTTAATGAAATGAAGTATTCAAGTAAACATCCTATTGTCACTAAATAAGTGAAATAAGTGAAATGCTTCAAAGCTTAGGATATTTACCGTGATATGAGAGCCACAAATTTGGCATTTGATGGATAAATCGAACGTGGTGGTTGCCGCAATATTTCGCAAGCATATTGGGATGGATTCGCGGGCACGGCGTATACTTTGAGACCATTTGGTGGCAGGCTGGGACCGAAATGCGCCGGCAGATCGTTAAATTCCTCAAGAAGCTGTAATTGACAAAGATATAAGTATTGGTCACACAAATATCATTTCGTTGCTTGCCTGATTTGTCAGGGTCCTGTAGACCAGAACGTGCGCATTCACCAGCTTCTCACCAACGATGAAAACGAGTCCCAATACTACCCACTTCAAGACGCCGGCCATGCTGCTTTTGTTGTTGCTGCTGCTGCTCTATTCGACAAGATTTGGTTAATTGTGATTATGCTATAGCTTTTATTATCGTTTTTGCTCTTGACTCTGTTGTTGTTGTTGCTGCTGCTGTTGTGGCTTAGAACCATTCGCGATATTTGCATTTCTCATCTGTTGTGTGGGGAGGAAACTGCAAACACAAAAAAAAGTTTATAACTAAAGTTTGTATTAATTTAGTTATAAATAAAAATAAATGTTCAGAAGCAATATTAATGAGGCTAGAAATTATATGGCTTGCCTCTATTGTTTATAATGTTTCTATATATTTCAGTTTGTTGTATGGTTTAAGAAAGGAAAAATCAGTTCGATATGAGTATAGCACGACCTCTCGACTGATAATAATAAAAAGTTTACAAAATTTCTTTACACTTTTTTCATATTCTCGTGCTTATCTTTTTTGAATGGATAGTTCCTTTTATTTTTTCAATTCTTTTTATTCTATTTACCTCTTACTTTAGTCTGCTTAGAAATCTATTCTTCGATAGCCTTCGACAGTTCATACTTAATCGCATTTTCCTGTCTTTTCTTTTTTCTAATGCTTTAATTTATTTCACAAATAATATTTATATTTCTTTGTAAATTATTTATTTTACATTTCGTAATTTATGTTGTTTGATTAAGGAATGAATTAGTTTGCTTTTCAACGCAAAACAGTACATATGAGATACTTTTGTAGAAGAATGCTTTGCTGACCTCATAAGCAAATGAAATGACTGCATTTTTTTTTTGAAGATAAAACGTTTTCAGAAAACATTTCCTGGATAATTATTGATTTATTTGAGGCTTGAAACTTTAGTTATTTTAATTTTTAATTTTTCCTTATTAATTGCTGAGAGAACCAATAAGCTGGTTAGTATAATATTTATACTCTGTACATGAAATGTACAAGAGTATATTAGGTTTGCGCGAGCTGAAAAATGTAACAGGCAGAAGGAGGCGTGGTAGACCCCACAAAGTATATATATTCTTGATCAGCATGACAAGACGAATCGATTTAGCCCTGTCTGTCTGTCCGTCCGTCCGTCCGTCCGTATGATCACCTAGATCTCAGAGACTATAAGAGCTAGAGACACCAAATTTTGCACAAAGATGCCTTATGTGTGTACGCTATACGAGTTTGTTTTATTTTTTTGATTTTCCCCCCCACTTCCCCCCTATGGGGGTTTTCCCGATTTTCCATTCGTATAATCGCCTATATCTCGGAGACTATAAGACCTAGGAACACCAAATTTTAGTCCCAGATGCCTTGTGTGAATACGCAGAAAATGTATATTTTGGAATTTCCCTCCCTCCCCCCTCTCCCCCGCAAATGCGATTTTCTCTAACTCCCGTAATTCTTGGAATTTCGAACTAAAATTTTGGAAATACCACCAGTTGGTTATTATGTGTCCGTGTGTCAAGTTTCACTATGATAGACCGATTTAACAAGAAGTTATAGCCATAAATATATTTGCTACTGCAGCGCTGCCCACGGCTGTTGTTGATGTTGCTGTTTAGTTGACTGCGAAAATGCTTACACAGACACAAATAGACGCACATAAACATACATACACTCACATAGACGCAATTGCTTTGTATATGTGCAATTATATACCCTTTACGTGAGTTCAAATACCGAGAAAGGTAAAATCGATCAAATTTTTTTTAAATTTTCTTATTTTTTTTCTATAATTATTGTAAACATATGTACAGAGTATTTCAAAGTCGGAACACCCGACTTTAGCTTTTTTACTTGTTTTAAATTGTTGTGTTTCCAAAGCTGAACTCTTGATCATTTTTTAAAGTGACAAACTGACGACGAAGGGAAACCTGTTAAGACAAATAAACAAGCAGCTGCTGATAAGATAAATGGCTCGGCTATACATACGAGTATGTACATACATACATATGCATATACATAATTATCGACATACATATATGGATGTGCACTGAATAAGTATTTGCCTCTGCCTTTTATTGTCTATGACGCTGATACCAGCTGATTCCATATTGTTGACAAATCATTTAGTTTAAAATGTTTAAGCGCTCAATGCATTTACCATTTATAATATAGTACGCAGATGCATTTAAGCTCTTGAACGCGTGCATTGCACCGCTCTCCTTGAAGCTTTAGATCCGAGATTCAAGCGGTTATGCAACGCAATCAAAATCGGAATATTGACTGAAGTCTCGGCAGCTGCTCATTGTGCATTGTTTACTTATTATTGGGCTTGATTTATCTCAATTGGAATTCTTACTGGAATTCGCAATTACATTCATTTCCCTTACCAAGCCACAAAGCTTCTAAAAATAGCCTAGTCCCAATGCCAATGACTTTCTGCACAACATTTTGAGGGACATTATCAAACGATTCTTGTATATACCGGTTTAATAATGTGAGTCAGCTGATAACACAGAATGTGATTGTAATCGCCAAAATTAAATTTATGTGCCGGCTTAGGATAGGAACGCCATACCCGCATACATACAATGTACTATCTACGTCTAAACAAATGTGGAAATTTATAAGAAAATATTAAATGTCCGTACGCCAGTTGTTAATGAATATGGCACTCATGTGTTTGCACAAAAATGTCACAAATTTAACCACAAATGTACACATTTATGTGTCTGTATGTGTATATTAAGTTCCTAATTAAATAAAAAAACGTCACAAATCGCCCAGACACACACACACGCACACAAACGCCTATAATGTAATCCAACGTTAAAGAGAACGTGACTTTATTTTTATTGCACGAGCACACATACATACATATGCACACATTTTTAAATACAATAGGGAATAAATATACAGTGATAAGTCACTAAAGCACAGAATAAAGTAACAACAGTACAAAAGTAACAACAGAACAAATTTATCGTCAGAAAATATTGAAAAAGCGAGCTGCAACGTCACTTCTTAGATATTTGTTATCAGTTTATTAATGGTTTCAATAAAGTCAGTCAAATGAACCAGTCATGTGGCTCACAATGTGGACATTATTCAATGAATGAGAATTATCAGAATCATTGCTAGAGCTCTCTTGACGCACTGTCAGCGCAGTTTCTGTTCTAAGAAGTATTTATTTCATGATTTGGAAACTTATTGTAAGTCTTTCAAAGAGAAGATACAATATCTAAATGCAATATAGTGTTAACTCTTCTTCTTCTCTACTTGCTACCTGTTTACCTATACATATATAGATATGTATATCGGAAGATAAGTATAGAAAGTAAGAGCTTCAACGTCACTTTTAACATTGTTTCTTATCTGTCTGTTTATTGCTATCAGTTTTTGCTTTGCATTGCAAACATATTTTAAATTTTAAAGCATATTCTCTCTAACTGATAATATGAAGGAGTTTTACTAAATAGAAACATTTATTTATCAGCTATTTAATGCTATCATTTTTTGCTTTGCAGTTATGTCTTACTTTAGGTACAATCATTTTCAGAGAATCCTCCATTTTTGAGTGCTTGAAGGTGCTGTTAAAAAGATGCACAAGGATCGCCCAAGTCTTTTTTTTGTTTTGTTTGACCTATGTTGTCATAGGGCGGCAAAAGCCGCAATTTGTGTATCCACATAAAGGAGGAGGCGATAGAATAGAATGCCAATACTATGTGAAATAATAGTAGGTATGTAATGGAGTTTTTTTTTTTTATCATTTTGTCTGAATAAAAGACAAATTTTAATAGAATATTTACTATACTACACTAATTGGATCAGTATTATCATTATGATAAAAGATTTCGGCTGAAAAGTATAAGGTGATAATTTATAAAATACTTTTTAAATGCCAGCTGCCTGTTTTGATTGCATTGTAATTGATTTCATTTAATATTTTATCCAACCAGTTTTCTTTAATAGTGTTTTCTTTATTTCGTATTATTCGTGTGACAGCTGTTTTTGTAGATTCAAATTTCTAATAAGACGAACACTAATGTACATTTGTGCTGCCAGTTCTTGAGAGTAAAACAAGTTATAGTATATATAAATAGCTAAAAATATTTCGAATCCTGTTAAATAGCTAAGTTCCTAAATAAATTTCTTATTACTGTTCACAGATTCTCAAACTCTTGCGATTAATTAAGCAAGTTGTGAAAGATTTCATATTTATTTTTATATGCTATGACCACAAATTTCCAATATGGATCCAATACAAAATTCAAAAACCAGAAATATTTTTTTAACCTATACGACTATAATTTTATAAAAATCAAAAAATTAGTTTAGGGCTTTTTTTGTGTGTCGATTTGATCTTCCTTTGTAATATTGTACACCGTTATCATCTTTCTAAAAACTCCTTAACTAACAGAGAAAAAGCTAAATTGGCAACACCGATGTACATATGTATTTTTGTATGTAGATACAAACTCGTGCAAGTGCAGCTTTCAATATGTAATAAGACAGCTGTTGTTATTAGAACTATACTAACGATTTAATGTGAATTTCTTCACTCTAATTTTTAAGATTGAGTATACATATTTCTTCAACGGCAAGTTTTCACTGTACTATGGTACTATATAAAAGGGCGCAAATAATAATATGGAGCTGTTTTGATTAGATCTTGTGACCAGCAAGCGTGATGTTTGTCAGGTTCAATAGATAAACTATGCTATGACACAGATAAGTATGCACTTGCACTTAATCCAACATTAGTCATCTTAGTTAGGGCGCAGCTGATAAGCATAAGTATTTTCAAGGCAAATGATTTGGGAGGAGGGGTCACACTTTTCCATTGTGTTGACAAAATGCATCCTTTGCGATGTAATTATTAAACAAACAAACTTAGTTCCGTTCCGTAAGAGTTTTAATTAGCATGAACCTTTAGCTTGTTTTTATATTTTTTTGCTGCTGAGCGCACGAAACTAAAAGTACACACATACATACACATCCAGTTAGCACTGCCACCCGCACAACACAAATATTCCCACATATACAAACACAACAAACGCACATCGCACATACATATACACAACGCCTACCTTGAACTTTACAGCAAAAGGCACAGACAGCCCTCAAGGTTTTTATTCTTGGTTTTCACGGTTCTTGTAGTTCTTCTGCCGTAGATTAACACTAGTATGACTGCAGTGAAATCGGAAAAATTAACGCAGAATTTCAATTGAAAGTAACTGCAAAATTCAGCTACGTATGCTTTTGTTATGCTTTCTGGCGTCCAAATGTTTGTGTCTGTTTGGGTGTGTAAGTGCGCGCGTGCATACATAAACGGGTGCGTGTGTGTGTGTGCGAGTGCAAATATTTAATTAACACAATAACAAAGCATCTAAGCTGAACTGCTGCACTTTTTCACTCTGTCGCTTGCTTTGATTAAGGGTTGGGTACCCAAGCTTATTGCATTTTCCACTCACCTGGGTATTGTTTTTAAGAACACTTTTTGCTGGCCGTCGGTCGTTTTTTGTGCTTTTTTCTGTTTTTTGTACCACTACCACCACTACGCACTCTCGTTGGTCGTCGTCGCCATCGCCTATTGCGTTGTAATTTGGATTTTGGTTCTATATGATTTTTAGCACGCGCACACACGATGTAAGCTTCAGCACGGGCGCGAACAGTTGTGGGTAATTGTTATATGTTTAACCATTTTGGTATATTGTTGCTAATGTATTCCTTTTATTCGCTATTTTTTTCCTAGCGCACAACGAACACGAACTAGGGATGTGCATGAAAACATCGATTTAATATTACATTGTATCGATTTATTTTCAAGCGATAACTAACCGTTAAGTTGTCGAACAATTTTCAAAATAAATAAAACTTAGGAAATGTTAAATGCAGTCCAACAAAACAATGCAAATCAGTTATTTAATTTAATACATTAATTTTGTTTATTGCTTAAAGTCTTCATGACTTCTATAACTTTTTGTTGCGTTTAAGTAATTTATCGATTAATAAAAACAATGTCACCATATCGCAATTGTGTGTTAAATTTATATTTAATAATGAAATGAGCGCTAGATGGCTCTGTTGCTCTTAGCGGCCAGCCAACATTTCGAATCGACGGCCTTGCGCATAATTTACGTGCGAAAAGTAAGCTATAGGGCTGTAATTATATGGTTTTGTCCGCACTTACGGCTATTATTCTTATTGTTGAAACAAGTTTGTTTGATGGTACTACCTAAATAACCTTGAAATTGTTTAAGTTTTTTTGTGTAATTGCTACAGTTTGGGCATCATCGTTGAGGGGACAAAGCACGCAACAATATATTATTTTTGTGGACAGAGCCGCCTTATATGTATTCAATACCATGAACTTGACTGTGAGGTGTGCATTGACAAATAACCAAAAGCGTTGTCTAATTAAATTCAGCTCACTTGCTGCTCATAATACCAATGAATGGTCAAGCAATTTCGGTTGTTGGACCCAAAAGCTTCATCAATTGTCCACTGCCTGCGGCATGATTTACGACTTTTTGGTTTGTCACTGGGCAGCTTGCTGCCACAATGAGGAAATTAGACGAGAAAAACGCTCAATTACATGCATGCAACATGAAGCGTTTGTCGCTCCCCATTTTGTGCTCACAATCTTACCTGCTGCTGCTTACACGGCACCCAAAACTCAAGCTCTCTATTTTAGCTTCTTTGGCCATTTGTTTGGCGGCACTTACAAGACGGGTTGGCTTTCGGGCTCGAAACAGTTGGCCAGAGTGCCTCGAATGATTCAGACGCAAGAAACGCCGCGTATTCAGCACGTTAACGGTAAACGCACTCGACAAAGCGTCTCGTGTTGCATACAAAAAAGAAAAGGAGCTCCACAACCCAAATATCAGGAAGCGAAATTGTTATTTTGGAGAAGTGCTTTTTTGCATACAAATTGTGACACCGAAACATTATTCGCTGTAAATATTTGTGCTAATTGCCAATGACTGTAAAACTGTGCTCGTTTCCCAACCAAATTTTGCGTTATTGTTATTACTCTGCCCGCCAATATATGTACTCGTATATATATAGTTTTGTTAAAAAAGATATTGCACAATTTCCCAAACGTCTTGTCCGAGTGGTCCGGTCTCGCCTACAAGTCCATTAAACGGCACATTTTACAAAAAATAAAGAAAAATAAACTTTTCACAATAAGCCGCTTTTAATGTAAGTAGTGGTTATAGTCCATATGTTTGTTGTTGTTGGTGGTGTTGTTAATTTGGTGTTGCATGCGCATTTGACTGCAAGTTTGTGTCTTGTTGAAGTCTTTTGTTTACATTGCGCGCACAACGCGCGAGCGAATTCAGATTTGAGTCCCCTGTGTGTATATTTTTTGTCTGCTCTTCTTAATGATTATTTCACAAATCAGTTGTTAATGCATAAAAGAAACAAAAATTACTTAGGCTCTGCCATCGGCGACTCCAAAAGGGGTCAAGTTCAGATTATAAATTACAAAAGTGAAGAGGGCATTGTTTGTGAAATTGTGGACGGCAATTCTTTCATTCTATAGGACATTAAAGAGCACTGAATGTTGCGTAAAATGCGACCATTAAGCAAGTTGGCCAAATAAAAAACATAAAATACATAAATATGTCAGTTCTTCGTTCAACGTAAGTTGTAAAACAGAGCAAGCAGCAAGAAAAATCTTTTAGGAGCATGCTCTTCACTATAATGTGTGTTGAAATGCAAAATCTACACTCTACACTGTACTCATAGCGTAACACATTAAACAATGTTGAATATACTCTTAGAATGGAAAATGCGGCATATTTACTTGCAGCGAATAATGAGGAGGTGCCTCTTTAATTTCCTTATCCTGTTGAATTGGAATCAGTTCCTGCTTTTGATATGAGAACTCATTTTTATTGCTTGTTCCATTAAAAACTCATTTGCTTTGCGTATTTTGGAGTTATTGGTTGTGATTTACTTTACTTATTGCCAAGACGGGTCAGCTTTAAATAAAAAATAACGAAGCTCCAAAAGACTAACACTAGTAACCAGTGAATTATTGGTACAAATATAACAAACTTTTGCCTTTCTGTGGGAATATATAAAATCCGTTGTTTCATACATATTTTTTTATTTTTGCACCATTTAAGGCATTTTATTTGGCCTCTAAATGTCAGAAATAAGTATTCAATAAAGAAGTAATTCTAAAACATGAGGAAAAGTGATATTTTTAATGAATTTTTTAATGTAACTTTTAAACTTTTCTGAGTGGAAGTTGTTTGATTTGTTTTGAATTTTAATTTTTTTTTTAATTATTAAATTATTTTTTAATGCAATTTCAATTGCACTGGGCAGATCTTAAACCAGTTTCGGCATTTTGTTTGCCAAAAATTTGGCATTTGCTTGTTTAGTTTAATGATTTTGCGTGATGCTGGAGGGCTGATATTTAATTTGGTTTGGACAGATATACGAGTATGTATGTTACCTTCAAGTATTTGCTTTTGTGTACATTTCGCGGCTATTGTAGTTATGCAGTTTGGCAATTAACATAAACAAATGTACAACTATTTATTTTGTGTTTAACAGATTCTCTTTTGTTTTGTTGTTAGCCTCACACCAAATATGTTGCAACAGTGGCTGTCAAACTGTAGCTACCTGCTAGTCGCAGCCTTCTCTATTCAATTTCTACTCAGCACGCATGCGTCGAATCAGATATCGGTCGATGAGGATCTGAAGCACTTGATCGGCCGATGTGAGAGTCAAAGCGCAGGCGCAGAATTCGACGAGTGCATGAGGCAGGTGTTCAACGACTTGAGGGCCTATTTTCCAACAGGTGAGTGGCACAGTTGCGCAAGTACTGTGGTGTAATTTTGTAAGTCTTGTGGTTATTTAATAGGTGTGGAGCACTACAATATCAAGCCCTTTGATCCACACTACTCACCCTTTGTCGAGGCGCGCAGAGGCGACTCGAATGGCCTTGGTGGCTTTAAGCTCATTTTACGCAATGTTTCCGAGTATGGTTGGTCTCGATCCGAGGTGACAAAATTCCATTCAGAACCCGAGGAACAACGCATTGTCTATGCCCAATATTTTCCGGAGAAGAGTTTGGAGGGCTATTATGAGTTTGCAGCCAAAATGCTGGGCAAAGAAATGAGACGTAAAGGTTTCTGGAACCTAACACTGTATGATTACAGGTAAGTGTGGGGGCCGAAACGTCTAATGTTGAATTGAATACATAGGCTATATGGGCTATGTTTTTAGGGATAATTGGTTTATACTACTTATACTGTTTATACATATTTTTGAGAAGAACTTTTCGATTTATAATTAGGTCTTTCAGTAAACTAGAGATGGGCATGGTTTTTTAGGCCCCGTCGAACACGCACGCCCAAAAAATTGTAGGCACATAAAAATAAATGGGTGCGTTCAGCAGGTCGTGGCGATTTCCGATTTTTGATTATGGATTGTTGATTTGTTGTATTTTTGGTCAAAAAGTCACAGATTGCTGGGTATTTTCGCAAAGGTCTCGACTAAATTCTGACTATGCAGTGTCAAAATTGAAAAATTCTGAATCGTGTAATATTATTTTCGCGATTTGCGTTGTGTGATTTCGATTGGTATTTGTACTTATTCGAATCACAAATCACAGTGGTCAGCAGGTGAAATCAGTAATGATCGATTCCAAATCGATCACGATCTGCAGAACGCGCCCAATGCTAAATCAAATCATTTACAGAATTAAGATATAAATGTAATAGTATATACATATGTTCATTTGGTAGAAAAGTCGTCAAAATTTTGTATAGTTCATTAAAAACATTTCATTTTAGTAAAATCTCACATCGACCGAAAGTTTGTATGGATGTAGATCCTACTTAGAAAATAACCGAAGTTGGAATTCAAATTATTTGCATTTCTGCATTATTTTGAATTCGTTGCTTCACTAGTTCTTTATGTCGATATTAATAAAATAACTTTTTAGCTTACATTTTCACTTAAATTTAAAAAGAACAACACAATAATAATGGAGAGGATTTTTTTTATTAACTTACTTGTATTTTTGCAGCCAAACCACGAGTGTGCGGCGTGTGGGCGAGCCCGGATCGCTGCTAAAGGTGCATGTGGAAGTGGATCGCATTGGTGGCATGGAGCTTCACATTGGCGACTTACTGAAAGGGCAGCCGCTGAATCAGCTGGCGGATGGTGTTATTAATAGTATGTGGCAGTTGGGACTGCCCTTTCTGAAGCCCATCATCAATGAGCTCGTGAGCACTGCATTTACGGATATATTTAATGAATCGTTCAGATACTTTCCACTGGAAAAGTTTTTGAGCAAATCCTGAAAGTCACTCTACAGACTAGTCCAGCAATATTGAAGTTGTTCTTCGATAAAAAGACTTTATTTGTGTATATATACAATAAAATAAAATGTTCATAATCCCTTACATCATAACCTAAACATCGGCCAGCGTTGAGGCCACAGCATCTCTTGTGTGCGGTTTGACGGGCTCCAGTTTTGTGGCAGTAAAGCAACGATCAAATAACTTCCGCAGCGATATAATAACATATGCGGAACTTTGGAAGAGCTGCTCCACCGTTTCGTGTAGCAATTGATAGGCCTGCTCCACTTCCGGCGTTAGAGGCGCATCTTTAGGATAAGAAATGGATTTAGTTTAGAATTAGTTTTTGTAGAAAACTGTATTCGGCCTTCTCTCTAGCACTGACATCAAAAAGAAATCAACTGTTTAAAGCAAATAGTCATATGCTATGTGCACCAATATCGGCGAAACTTCAGATAATGGTGACTGATTTCTGATTTCCTATGGCAGTTTATGATATTGTGGACTGGGTTTCATGAAGCTTCAAAATTTGTTGAAGGTTTAAAAATATCTAATGAATACCAACAAACATGACGATAAATTAATAATAAATAAAGTTATCTTACTAAGTAGGATTACTCCGCCGATTTACCATAAACTATGATTTATCATAAACACGTTTGGTCTTCCTAGATGTTATGCTTTGGGTAAAGACTAAAGGAAAGCCTTGTTTCTTTACTCACGTTTTTGTCCCGTCTGCTGTTTACTCAGATCGAACATGAAGCGAAAATAGCACAACTGATTGTACAGATCGCGTTCCGAATATTGACGCAGCAACGCTCCATTCTTGCACTTCAGGCACAACGGCCGTTTCAACTCCCGCACATGGGAATAGGTGCGCGTATTATAGTTGCAGTCGGGATGATCGCACACAAGCCAATTCTGGTAGAATCGTTGCACAAACTTGCGCATCGTCAACTGCAGCTGATTGCGCACAGAGACGAGATATTGATAGGGAGCGGTGTGGCACTCAGAGTTGGCGCACTGTTGGAGCACAGCCACGTGGGTGTTGTTAACGCTGGGCCTGAAGGCGGTGGCCATCAGCTGCTCCGTTTTGCAGCTGACACAATTGAAGCGGAAGGGTTCGCACAACCGATACAGTTGTAGTGTGGTTTTCAGAAGGGATTCTCCCTCACCCTCCTCGGTGCGTTCGCGTTGGGTGCTGCAAGGGAGACGACGCATTAAAGAGTGGATTGACGAATGCCAGATGTTGAGATTTTAAAGAGATTTAGAAGAGACTGAGGACTGAAGCAGATCGGCCCCTTTCTAGAGGGGTTAGAGTCTCCCTCACATTCGACTTAACTTACCGCTGTGCATTCTGTCTAAACTTGGTAGCATCCATACCCAGGCACTCGGCAATGCGACTCGCATCTGTTCCCTCAAGCACCTCAACCATGCGCGTGACGACAGGATGGATTTGATGGGCCAAATAATAGTTTGAATCCAATTTCAGTTGTTCACTCCCTTTCAGCTCCTCCAGATGATAGGCACGCTGCATGGCTGCATTTGTGGTGCCATCCTCGCAGATGACATAGTCGACCATATCGCCCTTTTTGTAACGACGATTGCGTTCTCGATTCATGCGCAGAGCAACCTGCACATGAGGTTGCGAACCGCTATTCACATACTCCTGTGGAGCACGGGTTAATTGTTTGGTAATCACGTACATCGGCAGGGGGACAGCCGATTCCTGAACCTGTACTTTGATGCGCTCCAAATGTGTGTGGACTGCGTCCAATTTCTCCTCAAGCTGTTTATCGGAGAGCACCTCATCGAGCACCACCTTGCCGACCATTACGGCCAGCTGGGACCAATCGCGACGCACAATATCCAAGCCCTTGTGCTCCTGCTCGCGTTTCAGCTCACCCTTGGCCGTCTTAGTGACCTTGACGGCGGCGTATTTCTTTTTCTTGAGCAGCAGCAGACAACTGAACACCCCATCGATGTCGAGCTCGAGCTGTTTGTACATTTTATTCACACTCTGCTTGATGCTGTGTCCGATCTTAAAGACCTGATCGTAGTCCGTAATATTTGTGTTGACCATCAGCGAGTCTGTATCGCCGTACACCACGTCGTAGTTCATCTTCTGGACCAGCGCCTGCGTATTGGTCAAGATCTCACGACCCTTGTGGGTCACCAGAGCCGCCAGATGTTGGGCAAAGAAACGCGAATGCGCAAACCCCAGACAGCCATACATCGAATTGGCCGTCAACTTTAGAGCCATTTGCCGTATATGATACTGCATGTGCAGTTCTGGGGATAAGTCCGGCGCGGCCATCAGTTTCTTAACTTCTCGGCGCGACTCCACCAGACGACGCAATTGCAAAGGCAAAATTCCCGGTTGGGCACTCGAATCTGGCAGGGCAGGCAGTTCATCAATTGTGTAAGGCTGTTGAACTGTCGTGAAGCAAATATTGTATTCCTGTATAATGCTCGGATATAGGGAATTGAAGTCCATCAGCAGAATGAACTTTTCGTAGAGACCACGAATCGGTTCCAGCACCAAACCACCGGCATAGGCCGCCTTCTTGCGTGTCGCTACTGCCGCTTTAGTCTGATATCCCTCAGTCTCCATCTCGGAAGCGGTAGCATCGAGAACAGCGCCACGCCCACGTCGCTGCTGTGCCGGACGATCAGGCACTATGTAATTCTTCTCGGTGAAGGCGTGCAGCAGCAGAAATTCATTTCGTTCGGAGCGACCGCCTTGAAGGGTGCGTGTCATCGTATTGCCACAGATGTTGGTTATCTGCAGAGCCAGCGGCATTATGTTCAGATCGCACATGAGGCGCAGCATATAGGAGGCATCCTGCATGGTCAGCGATATGAGCTTCATGATGCTTTCGCCTAAAAGTGAGCAAATTGGATAAATAATTGCAATTTTCTAGGATAGAAACTATTATTAGTGGATCCATAGAATATTCATAAGGATAGGTTTTTAAACTGATTATAACTTTGAATAAATGGAGCACCTTCAAACATTTAACTAACTATGAAATTCTTGGCGATAAAGGAGACTTAAGATTGTCAATCAGTTTTATTGTCATTGTAAATTATAGAGGAGACGATCTTGTATACAGCAATCGACATACTTGATGTCTGACAAAAGCAAGCCATAAAGGTTGAAACTCGCCTTGCCAGTTAATCTGTAATCTAGGCGGATTGTAGTCTACTACTATGTTTTCTGGTCTCAAAAAATGAATAACAATCATGAAATCCTGACAAACTCTATCTTCGTATTTTAAAAAGATTTCACAACTAACCCTTTTCATACATCTCCAACAAATCATCGGCATTGACATCCATGCGTTCTGATTCCTTGATCTTAAGCACCTGCTGGCAAAGGGATTGCAGATCGTAGGATCGGGCGCGTATACACTCCTCGGCAGAACGTTTCACATCGCAAACCATTCGACCCACGAAATGATCAAACAGTCGCTTTCCATAGGTGTTTGTCAGCCGGAGGCGACCCATGCGTGACCATTGGGGAATTTTGAGCGCCACAATTTGGTCGGTTATGATATTCAGCTGACAATCCATGGCATCGTAGGTGACAATCAAGTCCGCATCGATCTGTTGGTACTGCGCCAGAAACCAGCTCAAAAGCGCACGTTCCGAGTCGTGTTTGTAGATCTTGGTCGACTTATATTTGGCCAATTGCAGATTCAAGTCGAAGGGCCAATTAACAACGGCGGGACGTGTGAGGCCGCACATGTGACGATTGAAAGCGGGCTGAGGGGCCGGCTTGTCAATGTGAAAGCGATTGTGGGTCAGCATGGAGATCATGCAGACCTCATTCTTTAAGGTCTTGGGATTTATAGATGTGCGCACATTCAATGTGATGAGTGAGAGGGGCGGCGGCGGCGCCGCTTTACCCTCCTCCATTACGAGACTCACGTTCTTGGGGTCGCTGATGGTGACATCAGTCTTGCACCAACTTATGGGTGCCGAATTCACATCAAAAGCCTTGAGCTGTAGCCAACAGGGTCCCTTGATTTTGCGATCAAGCAAAAAGCGTTCCAGAGCATTCGTGTTCGCTCCAAATATATGCGCTATCGTATCGTATTTCTTCTTTTCCACATTCGGCGCCGGCTTCTTGCCATCGTAATGCACTTCCAGATAATCGCAGGTCTGTGGCACATCGATGCCAATTGGGTGATAGGCAAAGTTTTTGGTCACCTTACGGGAACGAAAGTTATCCAATTTCAGTTCAGCGGCTATATCCGCATTGAACTCTTTATACATGTCGGCGACAGTCACCATTTGCTTGGTGGGCTCCTTTGTAATAGGATCAAGCACCTGTTGGAGTTGAATTATAGAATGGTTAGCATAGAGAGGGATTTCTATAAACCTACCTAAACAAAAAACGTCCAGAGACAGCAAATATGAGTATATTAGATGATTTGGATATAGCTTCTATATTAACCAGTTGAAATATATTTTTCAATGATTGGTTAATAAATCCACTTTAAAAAGAAAACCTCGTTTTTAGTACAATATCGTCAGCAAATTGAATATTTGTAAACATCAAATATAAATATACAAATAAAATAAATAATATTCTTCTCTTTTAAAGATTGCTTGAATAAACTATAATTTATGAAGAAAAGATTAGGATTCATTGTGTATCCCTAATATTTTTATAGACCATGTGATATATTTCTATAAAAAATTACTATAACTGCTCTAAATTACCAAAACTGCTTCTACAATACTCACATATTGTCGGGGTAGCAAATAGAGCACTCGATTTATGTTCTGTACCCGCACACATATTGATTTGCCATCTGCGGTGCGGCCGAAGAGGAAAACCTCGCCCGGCAGCTTTTGTGCATCCTCCCAGGCTTCCCAGTACCAGAAACGCAGCTGTTCTTCGTTATTTAAATTAACCTCTGGCTCGGTAGCCAGAACCGTCTTTTCAAAGTCATCATCCATTTGACAAATGGACTCCCAATTATTCAAGAGCCTGTTCATGTCCTCAGGTTCAGCTGCGGTAGGAGCTGGCAAAGAAGTCACAACTGCAGGAAGCTTTGATTTGATGGGTGTCGTGGCCGATTTAACTGTCACATTTTCCCTAGGTTTCTCGACATCAAATTGATTCTCATCATCATCGAAACAACTAAAATCCATTCCATTGTCGGGTAAGTCGGTTGCTTCTGTTTCTTCTGTTGGCTTATCCTTTGATGCTATTGATTTCTCCTCTGCAACTTCCTTTTTCACCTTTACAGCCACTTTTGCTGGAGTTGCTGCCTTTTTATTGGGAATTGTGGCCTTCGGTTTCAATATACGTTCCAGCATTTCATCGTCGCTAGTTTCATCTGTTTTCTTTCGCTCCTGCTCTTGCATTTTGATGTTGTTGAGAAAACTATTCATGTACTCCTTGGCAGCGGCAGCATCGGATTTGCGTGTCGAGGATGCACCGACTATTTTGGCGGGCGCAATCACTTTGTTTTGCTGTGGCTTAACATCACCTGGCTCCTGTTTCATTTCACCCAGAATATCGGCCAATATGTCATCATCCTTGACACTGGATTTAACATCTGCCTTCTTCGGCACGGCATTGCTAAAGAGATTGCGTATTGATGCTTTGCCTTTCGCTGGCTTGTCGCTTTCCCTTGCTCGTTTCTTGGCATTGCCTTCCTTTTTATTTTTATTGCCGGCCTTTCCTCCAGCACCTTCCTCGTCGGAGTACTCATCTTCATCCTCAAAGAAGTCGCGTCCATCTTCCGCATAGCCAGTGCCATCTATCAAATAGCTATAGTGAGTACTTGTTAAGACGACGCACAGCGGGGTAGAAAGCCATATTCGGCAGTTATTTTTAATGCGTATTTATTACATTGTTGTGCCTTTGCCCCTCTGTGCTGTCTGTCATTACTTACCGTCTTCTATCCAATCTCCACCGTACTTTTCATTCGCTTTCTTGGCATATTCCCGCTCATCCACAATCTCATACACATCGTCCACCTTTTCATCAACCACGCACTTGTTTTTTGTGCCCTTTAATTGGCGCAGGCGTTCCATGGCGGCAAAGCGACCATTTTTATCAATGCGCTGTCGCTTTACGCGCGGTCCGGCTACATAAATCTTCATTAAATTGTTGCACTTTAACATTTATTTAGTTAACTTACATGGTGAATCTGCCATTTAAGATGTTAATAACAATAAATAATAAAAATTCCAGCGTACAGCGTCTTAGAATTGGCGGGAAGTTGAACAGTGTGTACACACTTGCAAGAAGTGTGCAAAATATTTTAGCAGCTGGTGGATAAGTGGCCAGCTGCTCGATTTGGTGCTGCCACCCGATGCGATGACAAAATTCGATGGGTGCACACTGGTAGATGGCAACACCACGGCGAGACGTTACAAATAATCCAGCATGCTTTTGAAAATATAATCTGCCCATCAAAACAACAAAAATAAATTAATGTGAATTCACTGTGGACATTGTAGGAGTCCTCTTGTTGTTCAAAAGAAAAATGCAAAATCATTTCAGCAAGGCAAAAATTTAATGCAAAACACAATTGATTGATTGAGTTTGTTTGCGTTTATTTATTATATTCACTTGTCATGCATATTATTAAGCTTAATTAATGTCCAATATACTTTAAGTATAATAATGTACAGCAATTTTGCGTACATCTTTGTTGTGATCAAGGCAGATAATACGCATTGTTCGCCCTTTGCTTTTGTGTTTAATACAATATTAATTTCAATATATCATAACATGCTTATGTGGTAAATATACACAATACACACACTTCTTACACATACATCTATAGATATATATACTTGGAATATATATATTTATGACTATTTTGTTATGTATAAAATAAAATTTGATTGTATGGTACATTAGATATATGGTATATATATTTCTGCTTGCCTTTCAAAAATTCATACATATTTACAATTTTATAGAAAATATTTGAATTTTTGTCCTTTGTGGAAACTGGTGTGGCGTGCATAGAGTTGGAAAATTTTAGAGAATTTTAAGGAGTTGAATTGAAAATACTGTGAGGAAAAAGCAAGGAACTGTGAAACGTCAGTCTTCAGGAAAAAATTTAGAAACAAGAGTGCGACAAAATGGAAGTGGGAGGAATCAATAGAGGCCATGAGGTATTTCAGCTATGGGGCATACTTGTAATGATACATTTTTGATAACATTTCAGTTTTCAAGCCATATCAATGGCACAAATTTAAATGTAACTTAACGATATGAAGCTGGTACTATAATTTGCCGTGACTTGCATAGAAGCTGCGGCCATTTACTATACATTTAATAACAGCAACAAAATGACAACAACAACATAAATGTATTAACAACAGACCCGGTGCGGGAGCTGAAACAAAAGAGGGGAATAACATAAGTATAATGAGAACAGAAATGGGTAAAAGTTCAGAAGCTCACCTTGCCAAGTGGATTCCTCGGTTATTTTCAGTACACCAAACCGTCTCTGGCCACGCCTCACACCACCTGCACCGTTGCGAAGGCGCTGAAGGTGACCTTTTTGGGAAACTCGGGGCCGGGTGAGCCGCGTGTCTTGATCACGGGCTTTAGGGGCTGACGTGGCTTCAGGGAAAGCAGACCTGCAGAGGCAGCCAATTCTCGAAGGCGTTGCGAGAAACCGCTGCTGGAGTTGCCGGTTGTTGTTGCTGTTGCTGCCGTGTCCAGTCCAGCGCAGTCCAGGACGTCCAAGCCATTGCTGGAGGTGGCCGCTCCGGGATGTAGGCGATAAACTTGGGCTGTGGCCGTCGGATAGACGGCTAGACTAGTGGATCCTGCTGCACCCCCATTGGCAGAAGCTGTTGTTGTTGCTGCAGCCGCTGGCGTGATGTAGCTGTGAAAGATATGGAACAATAATAAACAACAATTACAAATGTGTGATAGGCATTAGTCAGTCACTCAGTCATCAGTTGGTTGGTTGCTTAGGCTGCTAATTGATTTATTTTTTATTTGCCAAAAACTCTAAAAACGCGCTCTGCATGACAAAATCTGTGCCCGAATATGCGAATCTGCGAATCTGTGAATCAATAGCATCAACAATATGCGCATAGACGCTGAAGAAGTCGCACACAACTGCGAACTCAATTCAATTTCTATGTATAGTATACTCGCATATCGTATATCACCTGGCAACAAGATCATGCGGCAAAATTCACAAGCTACTCAAGAGTTTGGTTTACTTTATATTTGTGGCATGCTTTTGCACTTTGCTTGTAAATCCCAATTGTAGTTAAAACAAATTTAAACATTAACCCCCCGATTATTTGCTCAAATCTGTTGCAATTCTCAATGCTATGGAGTCAGCGACTCGCCAAAGACGCCAAAGACGCTAATCAAATTGTTTATGCGAATAGCTGCGCTACTTTTTTTTATTGTTATCCATAGCTGTTGGCTGCTATTATTGTTTTTTATGGTTTCTATTTTTGTTGCCAATAAAATAATGCAAATAAGTTCAAGCAATTAAGGAACAAAAAATTAACTTTTAAATTGGTTTTTTAAATCCAATTACACAAAAGTATTATTTGCATTTATTGTAAGTTTATTTATTCCATAATAGTGAGCAATTATTGCAGCGCTTTGTTTTTATGACAACTTTTTATATTTTGCAAGTCAAACTCCTTTATTTAAAAACTAGATTGTTGAGACTCGTACAATAGAAAAATTGCAACAGATTTAAATATCAGTTAAAGTTGGGGTTGTGGGGCAGAGTTTTGAGTTATTTATACTATAATATAAGAGCTTTGTCTATTTGTTTATTAATGCGACTTTAGAAAATGTTTATCTATTACGAATGACCTAATGGCAGGTTTAGGGTTAGGAATTCGGAACACACGGGTCGTAAATTTTTTTATTCTAAGGCCTACATTTTTATAAAATTTGTCTGAATTATAAGCCCAATAAAAAATTGCCCCCAACTGCACTTTCGCTGACATTGTCGTAAAAAATGGTTTGAAAAACATGCATTCATAGATTCCATCTACAATAAAAAAATACCTTAGTTATAAAAATTGTGTGAAAAATGCCAAAGATTTTCTCACACATGCGTTCATAAACAATATGAAGATGTTTATAGTATTATAATTAATTATACTTTTTCTGCTTCTTCTTCGTCTTCGTCTACTACTACTACTACTGTATTTGAAGACTCAAAGTCAAGCAAAGTTCAATGCCAGACGCAGCGAACAAAGCCAAGAGAGAGGGAGAAACAAAAAACGAAAACAAAAAACCAAGCAAAGGTAAAGGCAAACGCAAATATCTTAATGCATCGCCCAGCTCTTTGCCCATTTGGTGCTGATAATGCTTAATTATATATACATAAACCGCAGCTCAAAACAATACAACAATACAGCAACAAAATCTGAATGCGCGCACTTCAAAAATAATGAAAATAACTTGGTAATTCACACGACGGCTTCGATTCAAAACGCACGGTATTTGTAAGGCAGGTTTGTGGTGGCGCAGAAAAACTAGAAGTAATCGCATATTGTGCACATTTACAAAGCATTATATAGTATATATGTATAGTACATCGAAGCAGCATGGTTACATTTTAATTAGTGTAATTAAACGTTTTTGTGATGAGCATTTTCGTGGGCTTTAATTAAACAAAACGACTCTGCGGAGACGCAACAACTTTGACCCACAAAGTCGGCACTATTTGATGAGTTCCCGATATAGATACAATATACATATAGTGAATAATCGATCCGCCTGTAATTGGCTTTAAAAATAGAATGTAGTATGCACAACAACAACAAATCACGATCAAGTGCAACATTTGAAGTTCAGCAACTTTTCAAAAAATGAAACGCACATACAAAATGTAAAACAAAAGCTGCCAGCACATTTAAGACGGTTTATTTATAAATTATTTATGCATTACCAGTGCGTCTCGCCTGTCGTCGCTCGTTGTCGTTTTAGAGACTCAGTGAATGCCAATCGGCAGTTAAAAAACAGTTTTCAAAACAAAAATGAGAAAATGCGTGACATTCAATTGTTGACATCATAAGGAAGTGAGCAAATGTTTTATGCAAATTTTAAAGGCTGTTCAAAAATACCCGCCACTTCAGAACGAGAATAAAGCTGCAGTAAAAAGTGCAGCTTATGTGAAAGCCTCTACAAAAGTGACTTAAGAGCATCAACTTAATTGAATGCCAGAGAAAATATATTGATAAATGCATAACGCTTTGAATAAAGAATTTATATATATATGTACAAATACGTGTTGCAGTTTGTATTGATTTTATCAAAGGGGTTTCAAATGCTGATTCCATCGAAAAAATACCCAAATAATGCTGATACGCACCCTCTAGAAACTGACCGAAAGTTGCGCATACGACATGTGGGCCGAGTGGATTATTTTTGCATTGGCATTGAACTTGAATTTATAATCTGGTGTCAATAAAACGTCAATGTTTTGTATATTAGGGGAATAGGGAACAGAGGCCAGACGATATGTTCTTAACAGCTCAGTCTGATCTCAACTGGCAGTGAATGAATTTCATGCTGGTCGTAATGAAGGAACATAAATCTCAGCCCGACTGTGGCTGAGCTGACCAGTTAACTGTGGGAATTAATCGTCAGACTGCAGGCAAGCAGAAGAAACTTGACAAAAAGTGCTAAAAAGCCGTGCCACTCCTGCTCTTGCACCAGCTGTTGCTGCTTCACAAAAACCAAAAACAAGTGGTCTTCTTCATTTGTTAGTGGTTCTAAATTGAATCCAGTTTCAAACTCTTTGCGCTTACTTTTAAGCCTTTTCTACAAATTGTGGAATTTAAATTATTTGATTAATTTTTGTTGCGATCGAACTTTATTGTTTGAGCATATTTTGAAAGCTTCACAAAATTTAAAGAAAGCGCTTTTTCGTATACATAATGAAAAGGAAAAATGCCATTCCTTTCTAATGATTGAAAAAATATTCAGAAAATAGAATTACAAAAATTATAAACATGTATTCAAATAAATCTGTTCAATTCATTTGGTTCGAAAGACAGTTTAAGGTCTTTTCCACCAGCTTTTTCATCTAAACAAAAAATGTGTAACTCTTTCGAAATATTGAAGCCTGCATTTTCTCAAATGAATTTTCAAACAATATCAAAAGCCATGATAATGGTTTGGATTTCGTAAAGCTAAATGAATGCACGCACTTATCTTGAAGTAAGCCGGCAAGTAGACAGTCAGTCAATGCTTACCACATCTGGCGGAGCTAATTTGAGGCTGCCACAAGTTATCAGAGCGACGGTGCACAGCTCATTATGGCTCGCCAACTTTGAGATGCCAGGCTGGCTGCTAACTTTAGCTAATTTTGACCCAATTCTCACCGCATGTCATACTACTCTGGTAGTCGTCTTTTTTTTCCCAGGCCAGGCCACAGCGTCAAAATATTTAAACGTCTGGCTCTTGGCGGCTTACTATATAAATCATAACGTTGAAAATGATAAAGAAACGGGCGCGTTCGTTGCCCAAGTCTTTTGTTTGGCTCTTTTAGTGGTGGTTTTTCATTTTGTCCACATTTTTCTGTAGGCGTTTCTTTAGCATTTCAAGTTCAAATGCCGCATACATTTGATATTTTATAAAAGAAAAGCTGCGCGCGAAATTGCTGTTGCAACACTTTTTATGGATGTCTATCTGTGTTTTGTTGTTTTGTCTTATTATGTTTGTCATACGATCCGGCAATAAATCAATTAAATGTAAATCACAATTTTGTTTGTTCGTGTATGTGTGTTGAAATTTATTTTGTTTGCATAGACACTAGTATTGGCTTTGAATTGATTTGGAAACGCCAGTTGCTTATTAAGCCTTCAACTTTTGACACATGGATTGCGTCGACTATTTGCTTATGTATTTGATTTTGGCCATATGAGCAGATAGTTCAGTTTACCGAGCTCTTGTGTTCAACAAAAATCACTTTTGCAATGAACAAAACGGCAGTTAAATTTGCACATTACATAACCGCAAATTATGATGCTAAAAGCATAGGCAAATACAAAACAAATACCAATACAAATACAAAGAGGCCATAATAATTTGTCAATGGCGCTGACATAAATCCATCAAAGGCGTCAAGTCTGGGCTCAAGCAGCGACAAAATCAATAGCCTGCCTGGCAAGCAAGAAAAAAACAAGGCGAAGAAGAAGAGCAACGGCTGCAAAAACAACAACAAGAAAATTGCATAATAAATTCAAATAAAAAGCAAACCATAACAATAAATACGCAGAGGCAGGCAACGGTGCCGTGCCACAAACGGTGGCAGATAGGCTGGCAGGCTGGTAGGCAGGCAGGCAAGCCAGCAAGCAGCTGCCACTCGACTGCACTCGCTTCTAACATAATTACATATTTTTGCCATGTCTGTGTGGTATGTTAAGCAGCTGCCTAGAAGTGGCAACAAAAACTACACACACACACAGACACACACACACACATGCATACACACTCACGCACACTCGCAAAGGAAAAGAAAGAAGCGCCGCACATGCGCGAATTCACATCCGCATGGCATGTTGCAGGCAAGAGTCAAAGTAACAGCAACAATTGCTTCATTTCGAGGCTGACTTAGAGAAAATGAAAAGCAATTTTTATGTTGCAATTATGTGTGTACTCCGCCTAAGTATGTATAGTATGGCTATAGTGTGGCTGACAAGTTCGTTGCTTCAGTCTTTTGTTTAGCATATGACAACAGCTTTTTTCTTCAAATGACAAGCAGCCGGGCAACTAATTTTAATCAAATAACTACTACTGTTTTATAGAGTTCCGCTATGGCTTCAAATAAAATACTATTAACACCAAAAATTTGTTTAACAAGCCTGTCACTTCCCCTTGCGAAGAGTTCTTTAA